GAACCACTGAGCTAAATCACCGGCCTCCCCTGCCTTTTTAAAAATTTATTTATTTATATTTTCCCCCCTGCCTTTTTAAACAAGTATTTGCAACTACTACAACATGCTCAGTGTTTAGCTGAAAGCTTCCTGAGGCAAGTAAAATACACAACTGGCTCTTTTTTTTTTTTTTTTGGTACTGGGGATTGAACTCGGGCTCTTGTGTCTGCAAGGCAGGCGGCGGAACACCCGGTGTAATAATGCTTTCTTGATGTACAGTTTTAAAATCAGAATGAACTATTAAATGTTTAGAAAGTATTAAGAGTATTTATGCTGGTCATGGTGGTACACACCTGTAATCCCAGCACTTGGGAGGCTGAGGCAGGAGGATCACTGTGAGTTCCATGCTATCCTGGGCTACACAGTGAATTCAAGGCAAGCCTCAACTACAAAGTGAGACCCTGTCTCTAAAAATCAAAAAAAGAATATCTATGTAAAGTACATGATGTTTTGGAAAGCAGGAAGTTAGACATGACAGCATCAGAAATACGGCGAATGTTTAATTATTATGGAAGACATAATGTCTTCAGTTCCCATCAAAACTCTTCCCTTCACCTTGAACATACTTATCCTACCACTCTTGTCACTTTCTGAAGGAATTCTGGAAGTTCTCTTTCATGTCCTTAGCTGCCCTGTTGTGGCTCTTTCACTATCGTATCTAATTTCAAAATGCTTACCTTTCATGGTCATTTTGACTTTGGGGAGAGTTAAAAGCAGCACAGTGCCAGATCTGATGAATAAAATGAATGAGGAACACATCGTAATGTTTTTATGAGCCTGCCTTTTCAATGGATGGCACACAACAGCAATATTCACTATATTTTTTCCTCATAGGTTTTTGTTTTTGTACCAGGGATCAAATTAAGGACCACGCACTTACAAGGCAGTGGCTTTGCTGCTGAGCTACATCCTTGGCCCCAGTATTTACTGTATTTTTAAATGATACCTCCTACACAAACGAGGACTTCCAGAACTGCTTCAGAAAGTGGCAAGGATGATGGGGTAGGTATGTTCAAAGTGAGAGGGAGTATTGTCTTTTGTTTTTTGGTGTGTGTGTGTTTCTTTTAGATAAGATCTTACTATATAATTCAGGCTGGCCTTGAACTTGTGGCAATCCTCCTGCCTCAGCCTCCCAATGCTGGGACTACAGGTGGGCGCCACAACACTGGGCAGGAAAGGGAGTATTTTGAAGGGGATTAATGGCAATGTGTTTTTTATTGCTAAAAACTTTTAAATTTAAATATTCACTGTGTACACTGACCATCTCCTGAACATATAAAAAAACCAGCTAAGAAAAAGTAGAATAAACCAGGCATTGTGGCACATCTCTGTAATCCGAGCAGTCTGGGAACTGAGGCAGGAGGTCCACAAGTTCAAGCCCAGCATGGGCAACTTAGTGAGACCCTGTCTCAAAATAAAAAATAAAAAGCTAGAGAGGCACCTCAGTGCAAAGGCCCTGGGTTCATACCCTAGTACCACCAAAAAATAATTCAGCAATGAAATTGCAGCTGAGTTTAAGATAGCAGGGCTCTGCTCTGTGACCTCCAACAACACAACATGATTCTGGAGATGGCTAAATCACCACATGCCTTTAAGTACACCTTGCAGATAAGAAGTACTCACAGATGTAGCAGTTGAGTGGTACACATCCAGTCATTAAAGAACTGAATGCATAGTTGTACCTCTTCTAAGAGCCTCAGTTTCTCCATCCATAAATCAAAAGTGGGTAACACAGATGAAGCCCTGGGCTTCAAACACGCTCGTGTTGCACCACTGAGCAACATCTCTAGCCTTTTATAAATTTTATTTTGAAGCTGGCATGTGGCACAGGCCTATAATCCCAATACCTGGAAGGCTTAGGCAGAAGGATGGCAAATTTGAGCATAGTCTGGGTAACTTTATAGGGAGATCCTGTCTCAAAATAATTAGTGAGACACTGTCTCAAGAAAACAAAAAAACAAAAAACTGGTGGGGATGTAGTTCAGTGGTGCCACTGCCTGCCCTGCAAGCGGGAGGCCCTCAATTTGCTGGCAATGCTGCCGTACAGTTTGAAAGCCCAGAGTTTAATCCCCAGTAACTAAAAACAAAAAAGACGAATAGTTTAAAGAGAAAGACGTTCAATATTAAATTATAATGAACAGTGAAAATTACAAGTGATCCAAATTTCTTTCATCTTGTTAACTATAAAATCCAATATACATAAAAGTACAGACATACAATTTAACGAGTAATTAGAAAACAGTATCATAAGATACAGAACATATAAAATACAAAACACTGCCAGCATTCCCAAATATTAATCTATTTCCTCCTTTCTGGTGACAGACACTCTCTATGGATATTTTATGGTAACTATTTCCTCTTAAAAAAGAGCCGGGGATGTAGCTCAGCAGTTCAGTGGCCTGCCTTGCAAGCTCAAGGACCTGAGTTCAATCCCCGGTACCCCCCCACAAAAAAATTCTATAGCTGTACATAGCGGCACACACCTGTAATCCAATACTTGAGACCAGCATGAGCTATATGATTATACCCTGTCTCAAAAAAAAAAAAAAATCAGGTATATAGGTATAAGCATTCCTCAACAATCTTCAGTTTTACCTATTTTTGAACTTTTTTTAGGGAGTTATCATATATATACTCTTGAGATATTTGCTGTGGTCATATTATGCTCACAAGATGTATGAGTTGGATGATGTTGGTAAGTATAGTTTTGGTTTTTCTTGCATAGCGATCCACTGTATTAATTTATAATTTATTTTGTCCATTTAATGGAGTCATTTCTGTTATTTTCAGCTCCATAGCAACAAGGATGCTATGAACTTTCTTGTATGTGTTTCCTGATGTGTGTGATCTTCTCTAAGATACATTCAGAACTGTTAAGAGTGTGTATATGTTCAATGTAGGTAATGCCAAACTGTTTTCCAGTATTTGTATCAATTTATACACTTGTGGTATTTCAGGGTTTGTAGTGCTGTACACCTACTCCAATATCTAGTAACAGAGTGGTTTGTAACTTTAATGCACATTTCCCTAAAAAAACTGGTAAGGCTGAATACTTTATAATTTGGATATCATCTCTGCTGAACTCTTCTACTCCTTTTTCTGCCCATGAGATTCAAATTTTCATCTACCAGTTAACCTAGCAATCAAAAAGTTCAAAAATACAGCTCCGATAGAAAATGGAGAAACAAATTCTCAGAGTTAATAAGGAGTATAGCTGGGTTTGGTGGCGCACACCTGTGATCCCAACACTCGGGAGGCTGAGGCAGGAGGATGATGTAAGTTCAAGACCAGCCTGGGCTACACAGTGAGTTCCAGATCAATCTCAACTACATAGTGAGACCCTGTCTCAAAAACAAAACAAAACAAAACAAAACCAATGCACATACTTTAAGACCCAATTACTTCCTCATCAAGGAATCCACTCATCTACTTGCAAATATATAAAGAACTTCAAAATAATAGTCATGACAGGCTTGTCTATAATAGCAAACAATTAAAAATAACTTTACAAGTCCATTAATAGGAGACTGACTATACTTGGTTCTGCAACAGGATTTCTTTTGACTGTTGACAACGGAATTAGGTAGAATACTATGCACTGATATAGAACAAGCTACAGGACAGTAAAATGGAAGATGTGTGTTGCCCAGTGTAAACAGTATCTCCCAACACTTGTAAAACCAGAGGCATACACAATTATAAACTTCTAAGTTTTTAACCCTATCTTCCACAGAAAACAAAAGAGACAGTAACACAGTTGCCTCTGGGGAGGAACAATAGCTTATAAGACTTTTCAATATGTACATACCCTTTGGTTCTTTTACATTGTTGTCCATAACAACATTAACATAGTGTCAAACATTACAATTGATCAAGAAGTTCCCCTCTTGTCTTAAAAAAAAATATATATATATGGCCAGGTGTGGTGGCACACACCTGTAATCCCAGCACTGGGGAGGCTGAGGCAGGAGGATCGCTGTGAGTTTGAGACCAGCTTGGACTACATAGTGAGTTCCAGGTCAGTCTCAAGTACATAGTGAGACCCTGTCTCAAAAAACAAACAACAACAAAATATATATATAAAACACTTCTTACATCTATAAAAAAACAAAATTTCATAGAAAGAGGAAAACAATGGTTAATAAATATACTGTGTATCATGCTCTTCTAAGAATGGCCAAAGTGTTACTCAGAGCACAAATCATAAAAAAGATTCTTACAGGGACGGGGATTTAGCTCAGTGGTTCCAGCACCTGCCTCACAAGGACTGGAGTTCATCCCCGTACCAAAAAGATTCTTACAAAGAAACAAATAAGCCAGGCGTGGTGGTGCACGCCTGTAATCCCAGCACTCAGGAGGTTGTGGCATGAGGATCACTGTGAGTTCGAGACCAGCCTGGGCTACACAGTGAGTTCCAGGTCAGTCTCAACTACATAGTGAGACCCTGTCTCAACCCCCACCCAAAATAAACAAATAAAAGAATAAAACTTCTTAACAATAAAGGAAACTAGTCGCATAAATGAAACAAATTTTAAAAAATGAAACAAATTAGCATTTATCTTAAAATATTTCTGAAACAAAGTAATTTGGGGAGTTACTTGGATTTCCTCCCTACTTCCTAATTATCCCCTACTTTCCTCTCTCCACATATATAATCGTGTGATTTTTTTAAGCCTGTGTCGACTTAGTTCACCTAACATGTTCTCACGTGTCATCTATTTATCCATGAATGCCTCCCATCTGTCTTTATGCTACAGTGTCACACCGCTGTGTATAAACACATTTTCAGCCCATCGTGGTGGCACTGGCACCAAGGAGACTGAAGCAGAAGGATCCTGAGTTCCAGGGTAGCCTGAGCGATAAAGGAAACTTGGTTTTTTTGTTGTTGTTGTTGTTTTTTAAAGGAGACCAATAACAACCAGTGACTATGAAGTGAATAAACGTCCCACGAGACTTACTCATCATCATCCTCTTCTCGCTTGTGTTTCTTTTTAGAGTGAACGGAAACACTGTTGAAATAAACAGACATCAGTCAATTAAGAAAGGTATTTGAGTTTGAGCTTTCAGCATCTTTTCTTGCTAACTTGGCTCACCCACCCCACACCGAATTTTCCTTTGCAGGCCGAGTGGGCTGGATCCAGGTCACAAGGTCAGTCAGGTAACGCTGAGTAGTGCCGACATCACCAAAACTACAAACCCTGCACTCTCAACTTGTCACTTTGTCAACCTAACGGAAGTACTCAAGGGAGAACCACTGCACGGTAAACGCATTCATTCGGTGCACGAACTGTGCGAAGCCCTCTTGCCGTGATCTCACTGCGAGGACCCACTTGTCCCCTCCGGCCGAGGAGGAAACCGAGTGTCCGAGAGAGAGGCGCTCAAAGTTGTTACCAGCAGCGCCCGCGCCGCGCTCTGGAAGGTGAGCGCGCCTGTGGCAGCCAGGGACCGCTCGGGCTCCGCTGGAAAAGTCTCACTTCCCCGGGGCGCCGCCGGGCCGAGGGGAGTCGG